GAGTTGGACTTGGCACTGAATGCGGCCAAGTGTCAACTATTGACCAAGCAAACAGATCCCGTTATAGAAGGCGATGTCAGGTGTATTTCATGCTGAATTGTTTGAAAATCCTTCCGAACCCATAATCATTTATGGTGAAATAACTTAATCTGTGTGTTGCTCCTATATTGACATTTCTCGAACACGAACACCACACATCATTGTTTATCTGTTATTTTGGATGCCCGGCACATTTGAAATTCGCGTGGTTTGAGAACGGGAGCGACTGTTTGCCTCCCTCTGGACATCTTATTTGGCTGGCTTGTTTGAGTGCTTTTGGCCGCATATTCGAGGTTTGCGTTATTGTACATTTTGTAATGATTTCGTTAATTCTGTACCGTAGAACATTGCGGATCAGTCGTGTTTTTAATTCGGGATTCGTATCGGTTCGGCTACGCGTCACTCAAGTGCAAATTGGTTGACGTACAGTACTCAAATCGGAATCAAACGAGAAAACTATTTCAAAGATGCCCAGGCGAGGAACCAAGGAAACTGGAACCCAACAGAAAGTAACCCGGCAAGTCACGGGGGGGCTGTGGGTCATTTTGATTCTTTAGAAAATGTTAGATCTGTTAGTCCTGTCAGTGCTGTTTCATGTGTAGATTCAGAAATTAAGGATATTGATATATTCAGATTGCGGGTTTCTGAGTTAGAGCATGAGTTGAGATTAGCTAGACAGCAGATAGAACAGGTCAAACGTGGAAAAACCGATTTTAACGGCACAACATCACCTCGATCTGAGACTGCACACAGTGGCTTCTATCCAAAGAAAGAAGTTGCCCCTCAGCAGAAAACGTATGCCCATGTAAAAGTCGATTCACCAGGAGTTGAACTGACACTTTTCGATGGTAATCCCGAACAAAATTGCGAATTCATTCGCCAATACGAAACTTTCGTTGAATGCAAAAGCGACGGTGCAGGGCAAAGGTTTCTGTTTTTGCTACACTACTGTCGGGAGAAGACTAAAGAAGCCATACATTGGTGTGCAATGCTGGACCCGGAAATGGGTTACTCGAGTGCCAGAAATACACTGAAGGAGATGTTTGGCCAACCATTCTGAGTGGCACGAAATATGATTGAAGGGGTGCTAGTAAACGCGGGGCGCACAAGAGGCGATACCAGTTCTCTAGCAAACTTGGTCATCAAAATGCAGAACTGTATCATCGCCCTAAACCACCTCGAATATCGGTCGGATCTGGATGCACGTCACACGCTGGAATCGATTGTCAGATGTTTGCCGGCAGAAATGCAGACAGTCTGGGCGACCGAGGCCGATTGAATCGAGAAAAAGAACAGAGAAGCTACATTTGACGAACTCGCTGTGATGATTCGGATCTACGAGATCACGCCTGCCCTGGGGCAGCGCGGTACAATTTCCGGACATTGGTAGTCAATCGACCTTGAGCGCTGACGCCAGTAGCACGTGCACAGCCTCCGGATACACGTCATTGGTGGACCGTTCCAGCCAATCAGATACAATGCAGAGAAGAGCAATATGACGCAAGATGTGATGCAATATTATTGGCGAAAACTAAGGTAGCCAATGGTCTTTCCCTATGTACATATATATTCACTTTCATTTCCTTCAATAGACGACTTTGTGATTTGTCTGTCTTCTGGACTTTCTCCTCGCGTCTCGATCCTGCGGGCTATTGCAAGTTCGAGCCATTGCGGTCCAGTGCCATCGGTTTTCTAATTCATGTTCCGTGATTCCTATTGCGTAGTTCGTGTCCTGAATTCTGTGCGTAACTTCACTACTATTACTTCTACTACCACTAAAAATTGGCGTCGTGCAATGGAGCTTCTAAGTATTGAACAATTGAACCTGCATGCCAGTCCGTCCGAGATCGAGGAATGGGTAGAGCGATTCGAGCTGTGGTGCAGTATTCGAAAAGGTGGTGTGCAAAACCAATCCGCCCTATTTCTCACTGCTGGCGGCCGTGATCTGTATTCGCTGCT